TGAAGGTAACTGGACTGATGGTCCAATATATGATCGATTTGGACCCGACCTATTGCGACTATGTTGTTTATGAGAATGGCAAGAGGGTGATCTACGTTGTGATCCTTTGTGCCATATATCTATTGTAATGTCAATGGACATTCCGAATGCATTCATTCAGACCTTGATGCCAGATTTAGGTGATGGAGAAGATCGGGTGATCATGAAGGTAACTGGACTGATGGTCCAATATATGATCGATTTGGACCCGACCTATTGCGACTATGTTGTTTATGAGAATGGCAAGAGGGTGATCTACGTTGTGATCCTTTGTGCCATATATCTATTGTATCAAAATTTGAGAGCTTCCCTAGAGGAGTATGGCTTTGTTTTTAATTGATATGATCCCTGCATTGCCAACAGAATGGTTAATAACAAACAATTGACAATCAGGTTCCATGTTGATGACGTTTTGGCAAGTCACATGGAACAACAAGTACTTGAAGATTTTTTCACATGGGTGAATGATAGATATGGTGGTTTAAAAGAGATGACATGCACTAGAGGTCAAGTTCATACTTATTTGGGTATGACATTGGATTTTTCGAAGAAAGGAAAAATGAAAATTTGCATGGATGATTATATGGATTGCATGCTGAGTGAGTTTCCAGTCAAATTTAAGGACAATGAGATTCAGGAGACACCAGCTGGAAATAATCTACTGGAGAAAGGTAAAGGAGCACCGCTTGAGAAGGAACGACGTGAAGTGTTCAATTGGTTTGTTGCCAAATCGTTATTTTTGTCAACTATCAGTCCGACAGTATCGATTTTAGCATCAAGTGTGCAATCTCCAAATCTGAGTGATTGGCAAAAACTAGTTGGATTGATGAGATACATTCATTCTACAAAAGGATGGCATCTGACACTGAGCGCTGATGATTTGCATGTGATTAAATGGTATGTTGATGCACCATTTGCTGTTCATCCAGACTTCAAAAGTCATACTGGAGCTGTGATGACAATGGGCACTGGAGCAGTGCAAGCAATTACACAAAAGCAGAAATTGAATTGTGACAGCATTACACATGCTGAACTAATTGGAGTCCATGATGCGATGTCCAATATTTTGTGGACACGCTTATTTATGGAAGAACAAGGTTACCCAATCGAACACGTCCTCTTCCACCACCGGATGAAGAACGTCCCATCGTCAACAAATCACTCACTCCTTTGTAGATAAGGCAGTGCTGTTCTTGACGTAAATTTGTTTTGTTGCCTTTTGTGATTGAATGTTAGA